AGATACAACTGAACTCGTAGCGAATTAAGAGTTCCTGAAGAATGGATTGTACCTTAATATCAATGGCATTTCAACCGTTAACCGATCACACCTTATTTTTTGGGCGGAAACAAGGCATTTTGAAAACAACGTAGCAAACAGCGTGATTATAGCTATATAGCTATACAAAAGAAAAATGAGCAAAAATAGGAAACCAACAGATTTGACTTACTGAGAACAAGAAGTTGACCAACTTTTCTTTTCTTACTAAATTTGGTTTGATCAGCTCAGTCAGAATGGTTAATAGAAATCACCCGCTCATTCCAGAGAATAACCTTCAAAACACTCACAACTCGTGATGGAGAAGGTATTTGCACCTGAAAATGCCTAAATGATATTATGCGATTGGGATGACACACTTATTGGCTGAGATCTTTAAATGCAATGAAATACAACCACAAAAGTCTATCAGTGATATGGCTGTAGCATTTCATGGTCAACCACCTAATAATATTGACAATGTGTTTTCCGCCAATTCAAACTATCGTGTACAGTATTTCAATGACGCATGTTTTTTGAAGGTCCAAAAATTTCAAAGTGTGCATAATTTATTTTTGATTTATTTCGGCTCTTTATCAAAAGTCCAAGCACAAAAGACGACTTCCAGGTCCTTCCAGGTCTTCGAGAACAAGGAATCCGAATGAGATGCTGGTAAAAGGATTTTGTTAGTACCTATATATACCAGTGCTTTGAATTTTCCGAAGTGCATTGATAGTTTCCAATAGCAAACAGCGCCGGTTAGCTTCGGAAATGCTTCAATGTCACCCCAGCGTCAGACGAATGGAAGGTTGCTCGTCTGAGACCTCATGACGCGACTGACTCCTTCAGTTTTTCGCCCTTCATCTGTTGTAATTCTCAGTTAAAGAACTTACTTGTAGGCAACTGAAGGAGAACCCTAGTTAGCTAGACAAAAGGTTTTCTAATTTATACACGTGTTAACAATACAAGATGCGTTTTGTGAAAAGTAATTGAATACTCGCTCCACTCCTCCAGTTACTTTCAAACGCCTGAGTGTATAGCAGGAAACATCCCCCGATCCGTCTCGTAACTCCAATGAACGTTGCTATTTCACTCACGCTGAAGGCCGCCCAATAGAGACAAGATTCTATTTGGGTCAACCTTAGCTGTAACCTCGGCCAGGGATCGAAATCCCATGGACATCTCACCTGAGTGGTTAAAGC